AGGGCAATGGCAGTGGCAGTGGTGGGATGACACCCTGGGTCCCAAGCAATTTGTGCTGGTATTGGTGGTGACTGCAATGAGCTGGGTGGGCCAGTCTTCAGTGCCGCAGGTGGTGTGGGCAGGTACGTGCCAGCTGTGGTGGTGGCACTGGGTGGGTAGACCCAGCTTCAGGCCCCCAGGAGGCGTGCTCAGGTGCCAATAGTGTAGACTGGGCTGTGTTGCTATTCACTTGGGGTGGTAGCCAAAATTTTACAGAAAATATTTAGGGAAAGTTATAGGTTATAGTGTCAAACCTTTTGGAAGGCCAAAAGGTTTTATTAGGGCAGGCTGAAGGTGGCCAGCCGGTCCATTTATGTCAAGTTAGGGAGAGATAGAGACGATCAAAGGCTTTACCCCACACGCATTTGTCTCTACTCTGTTTACTCACGCAAATTTTGTGCTGAATGGTCTCTCCGGGGAAGGTCAAAGGGAATTACCTGTTAATAGTATTTACTCTAGGCCTGGAACCTAAAGCTTTTACCAGTCATGAAACCATTCTCTTAACCATGTTAATTATCCACAAGTCTGTTAACTTTAGAACCTCTGTTGTAAAATCTTGAGGGAATAAAAGTGTGAATGGACAGAGGGTCTGGGTTGGTTGCATTTTGCCCTCTGAAAGCAGCCAACGGTCATCCCTAGCCCCCTTGAAACACTGTAGTGGTATGAGAGTGCATTCATTCATCCATCATTGAGTCAGGGTCTGCAGGTCAGACTTCTGCAGGTGATGAGACCCAGGTGACCCCGACGTGATCAAGGGCACAGGGCTGGGCAATTCCCTGGTATCCAGACTGTGTGTTCTGGCACAGGTGGTGGGGTGAAGTCAGGCTGAGTGGGCTTGTCCACAGTCCTCTGGTGGTGTGTACAGGTGCTGATATGATTACCAGGCCACCAGTGGAATGCTCAGGTTGGGGGTGGCCTGGCTGTGCTGCTGCACTATCACTGCAGGGTTGGCAGTGCTGTCTTCAGTGGCAGCACCTAGGTGTGTGTGGGGGAACTGGGTGCCACTTGTGCTGCAGCAGTATGCTTTAGGTGCAGTAACTGATGTTCACTGGTCCTTGAGTCCTGGGAGCAGCAGCCAGATATGCAGGACTCCAGGATAGTGCATGATCTGCTGGGAGCAGGGCTCTGAAATGGTGCCTCACTTGTGCCTCAGTCCTGAAAACAGTAGCCCATGCCTTGGTTATACCTCTGACCTGAGTGCAGTAGCATGTGGTCATTCATTCCTGGGGAGCAACTGAAGCTTCTCTTGTACCTGAGCCTTAGCAACACTGGGCTCCGGGATAGTTCACAGTCTCCTGTCTATATCTTTCTCATGTATGGCCACTGAAGTCTCTGCTTGGTTATCTTGGCAGACAGCTAATGACTAGAGAGAGATTTCTTTTTTCTTTTCTTAGAGAAAGTGTCTCGCTCTGTCACCTGGATGGGAGCACAGTAGCACGATCATAGCTCACTGCATCCTTGAAGTCCTGGGCTCAAGTGACAGCCTGGACAGAGATTTCTTTGAATGTATGAAACAATAACTCTCCAAGCCTTTGCCAAGGGACTCTGTGTGTATGTGTATGTATGCATGTATGTTAGGGCATGCTTTCCCTGGTTGGCAGGCACTTTAAACTCTGCCTTACCTTTGCTTCTGGCTTATGGAGATCTTTAACTGCAGCCAGAGGTGAGAGATTAGGGCCTTTTTGGGTCTTTCCTGGGGGTGTGCACAGTGCTGCACATGCAGATGGCCTTCTAGATTCCCAAGAATATGTCAGAGCATTTCCAAGGCCCCCATGGACATCTCATTTCCCAGATTTTTTTTTTTTTTTTTTTTTTT